ACAGAAAATTACTTAGGGAACAGAATTGTTAAGAAGGGCCACAGAAATCTTTACTTAGGGCACAGAATTGTTTACTTTTTTTAAAGAACAGGGACACAGAATTGTTACTGAGGGACACAGAATTGTTACTGAGGGAAAAACAGAATGTTACTTTATAGGGACACAGAATTGTTACTTAGGGCCACAGAAACCAGTTACTTAGGGCCACAGAAACGTTAAATTAGGGACTACAGAATTGTTACTTAGGGCCACAGAAACGTTTACTTAGGGCCACAGAATCTAGTTATTAGGGCCACAGAATTGTTACTCAGGGACAGACAAGAATTGTTACTCAGAGGCCGACACAGAATTGTTACTTGGGACACAGAATTGTTACTTAGGGCCACAGAATTGTTACTCAGGGACACAGAATTGTTTACTTAGGGACAGAGATTGTTACTGAGGGCCACAGAAATTTGTTACTGAGGTTTTGACAGAATGTTACTTAGGGACCACAGAATTGAAAAAAATTACTGTGGGGACACAGAAAAAGTTTGAGGGGTGAGACACAGAATTGTTACTTAGGGACACACAGAATTGTTACTGAGGGACCACAGAAATTGTTACTCAGGGACAGACACAGAATTGTTTTACTGAGGGGTCACAGAATTGTTTACTGAGGGCCACAGAATTGTTACTTAGGGCCACAGAACGTTACTCAGGGACACAGAATTGTTACTTTAGGGACAGACACAGAATTGTTACTTAGGGACACACAGAATTGTTACTGTGTGTTCACAGAATTTGTTAAATGATTTGTTTGAACTGTTATTTGTAAAAGTGCCACAGAAACGTTACTCAGGGACAATGGAGAATTGTTACTCAGGGACAGACACAGAATTGTTACTCAGGGACACAGAATCGTTTAATTAAAGAGTATGTCAGACAACATGCAGAGGAGTGGCAGAGGAGGCAATGTTTTTTTAGGAGCGAGCAGACGTGGCAGCAGAGGAAGGGGTCGAGGCAGCACTATTCGCAGCCAGAGGCCAGTGCTCCCGGTGTCATCCAGTACAGTTGAGGAAGAGCTAACAGAGGGCGGTCAGGAACGGGGGGGACATCCGCCTCTTCAGCAGCCAGGCGAAGAAGAGTAGTGGCGAGGAGAGTGGCTCGGTTAGCCGGTTATGAGACAGGTCTGTCTCCTGACCCACACGCAGCCGAGGGGGCTAGTAGTGAGGCGGAGACCCTAATTGATTTGATGATGAGGCTGATCGCACTTGGCAGCCTCGTCGTCATCAGGCTATTGCTTCCGCATCATCAGGAGAAGAGGGTGGCAGCTTGGCAGCGAGCAAAACAGTCGGTGGGTTGTCTCCATCGCCACACTCTGCCATGTGCCACTTTCAGGTCTCCTCACACACTGCTGGTGGTGTTTCCATTTTTTGTCAATAGGGTGCTGGCAGATTACGGGCCTCCCATAGCTGCTGCCAGGCCCCTAATCTGCCATGGGCCCCCTGTAAAGGCCTCCTCATTATATGCGTAATGCTGCCAGGTCCACTAGTGTCTCATGCCATGTGCCACTTTCAGGTTCCTCACACTGCTGGTGTGTTTCAATTTTTTGTCATAGGGTGCTGGCAGATTACGGGCCTCCCATAGCTGCTGCCAGGCCCCTAATCTGCCATGGGCCCCTATACCGCCTCCTCATGCTGCTGCCAGGTCCAGAGTTCTCATGGGTCCATGTACGCCTCCCATTTGCTGTCTCCTCGCCACACTCTGCCATGTGCCACTTATCAGGCTCCTCACACACTGCTGGTGTGTTCCATTTTTTGATCATAGGGTGCTGGCAGATTACGGGCCTCCCATAGCTGCTGCCAGGCCCCTAATCTGCCATGGGCCCCTGTAATAAATATCCTCATGCTGCTGCCAAAGTTAGTTTGAAATTATATGTCATGGGTCCCTGTTAATAAATTGACTGCTGTCTCCATGCCACACTCTGCCATGTGCCACTTTCAGGTCTCCTCACACACTGCTGGTGTGTTCAATTTTTTTCAATAGGGTGCTGGGCAGATTACGGGCCTCCCATATATGCTGCCAGGCCCCTAATCTAATATGGGCCCCTATACCGCCTCCTCATGCTGCTAAATTTGAGTTTAGGTTATTACTTGTTTCATAATATGTGCCACTTTCAGGTCTTTTCACACTGTGGTGTGTTCATTTTTGATTTTTTGACATAGGGTGCTGGCAGATTACGGGCCTCCCATAGCTGCAGCCAGGCCCCTAATCTGCCATGGGCCCCTATACCGCCTCCTCATGCTGCTGCCAGGTCCAGAGTCTCTCATGGGTCCCTGTACGGCCTCCCATTGCTGCTGTTTTTTTTTTATTTTTGCTCCATCGCCACACTCTGCCATGTGCCACTTTCAGGTCTCCTCACACACTGCTGGTGTTTCAATTTTTTTGACATAGGGTGCTGGCAGATTACGGGCCTCCCATAGCTGCTGCCAGGCCCCTAATCTGCCATGGGCCCCTATAAACCGCCTCCTCATGCTGCTGCCAGGTCCATGCAGTGTCTCATGGGTCCCTGTTACGGCCTCCCATTGCTGCTGTCTCCATCGCCAAACTCTTTTGCCATGTTGTGCCACTTTCAGGTCTCCTCAAAATAATATGGTGTGTTAATTTTTTTGAATAGGGTGTGGCAGGGTCCCTTACGGGCCTCCCCATAGCTGCTGCCAGGCCCCTAATTTGCCATGGCCCCTATAACCCCAACACCTCCTCATGCTGCTTCTCCAAGGGCCAGGTTGAATCATAAAAAAAAGTCAGATTGTAGTGCTCCCATTGCTGCTGTAAATCCAAGGCCAAATAATAATGCAAATGCTGCCATTTCAGGTCTGGGATAATCACATGTGCCACTTTTGGTCTGGTCACACTAAAGTTATGTTCAAATTTTTTTGACATAGGGTGCTGGCAAAATTACGGGCCTCCCATAAAAAAAAAGCTGCCAGGCCCCTAATCTGCCATTTATAAATCTATATACCGCCTAAAAAAATTGCATGGGTCCAGAGTGTACGGCCTCCCATTGCTGCAGTCTCCAAATAGCCTCATATAATGTGCCACTTTCAGGTCTCCTCAACACTGCTGGTGTGTTCCATTTTTTGTCATAGGGTGCTGGCAGATTACGGGCCTCCCATAGCTGCTGCCAGGCCCGTAAATCTGCCATGGGCCCCTTTACCGCCTCCTCATGCTGCTGCCAGGTCCAGGCGAACGTAGTCACAGGGGAGGAACTCTCAGTGTAATGAACAGAGAAAATCGACAGATGGCTGTCTCCGCGCAACTGAAATCGGAACCATGTTGACCGACAACGGAAAGAACATGGTGTCTGCTTTTGCGTTTTTTAAGGAAGGTTGTGCCATGCGCCATGCATGGCTCACGTGTTCAATCTGGTTGTCAAGCGGTTCCTAAAATCCACCATCCCACTGCAAGGACATCCTTAAAAATGTCACGTAAACTTGCATGCATTTTCAGCCATTCCTACACCGCAAAGCACACCCTCCTTGAGCTGCAGCGGCAGAACGGAATTCCACATCATCGCCTGATCTGCGACGTTTTTGCAACAAGGGCGAGCTGGAATTCAACCCTACACATGTGTAGACCGCCTTTACGAACAGCGAAAGGCCATCACCGATTTCCTGATGTTACAAGCGGATAAAGGTACTCCCTGTGTAACTTCGATGTCAGGTCCATTGGGCAGCTCATGCGTGACACCTGCCGCTTGCTCAGGCCCTTTGAGGAGGCCACGCTATTCGTGAGTCGGCAGGACTATGGGATGAACGACGTCATTCCTCTGTTGCACGTCCTGGAACAAATGCTGTTTAACAATGGCTGGTCAGGGTGCGGTAGACGTGGCGCACAGATCTCAACGCCACATGACCCCTGTGGGGGCAGGCCAGGAAGAAGAGGAGGAGGTAGAGGAGGACATTTGTGCTCAGGCATTATTGAGTGAAATGGGTGGTTTTTCCACTCAGCGGACAGGAGTGGTGGGAGCAGGAGCATCTGGTAGAGAGGAGGAGGAGGAGACAGAGGACCCAGACCGCACCGTGGCAGTATGCTGTGGAGATGGAGGCAGGGAGTCCCTCGCATTCCTTGGCACAAATGGCCCATAGCATGCTCGCTTGCTTGCGTAGCGACAGCCGAATAATAACCATCAGACAGAGGGATGACTTTTGGCTGTCCACCTTGTTGAACCCTCGCTACGTTTCATTAAAATGGTGGCCTTTTTCCACACCTGCTGAGAGGGAGGCCAAAAAAACGTACTTATATAAAAACCACCTATGTAGTCAGTTGGTCTCTGCCTTTGTGCGCCAACGTCCATCCTCAGACACTGTGGGCCCTGTGCGCTCGCGTTCCGCTACCATGGCAGCAGGGGAGGGTGGGGTGGGTGGGTAGGAGCAGTGGTAGCTCCACCAGCAGCGGCTGCCTCAGTCTGCAGTCGATGATGAGTAGCTTTCTTCACCAGCGCAGTGAGGAAACTACTAACCAGCCGCAGCAGCAGCAGCATCAGGTGGACCTGGAGCAGGACTCAACAACAGGCTTGGGCCTACTTGGACAGCACCCTGCCAACCGAGGTAGACAATCCCCTTGACTACTGGGCAACGAAACTTGACCTTTGGCCCAACTAGCTGAATTTGCCCTTGAAAGGCTGTCATGCCGGCCAGTAGCGTGGCATCGGAGCGCGTGTTTAGTGCGGCAGGAGGTATTGTAACTCCGCGGAGGACACGACTGTCCACCCAAAGTGTGGAGAGACTCACGTTTGTGAAAATGAATCAGGCGTGGATTAGTGTCAGGATTTCAAACCACCAGTTCCTGACACAACTGACTAAATCCGCCATGAATCATGCCCCTGCATGTGCCACTTTCACGTCTCCTCACACTGCTGGTGTGTTCCATTTTTGTCATAGGGGTGCTGGCAGATTACGGGCCTCCCATAGATGCTGCCAGGCCCCTAATCTGCCATGGGCCCCTATACCGCCTCCTCATGCTGCTGCCAAGTCCAGAGTCTCTCATGGGTCCCTGTATGGCGTCCCATTGCTGCTGTCTCCATCGCCACACTCTGCCATGTGCCACTTTCAGGTCTCCTCACACACTGCTGGTGTGTTCAATTTTTTGACATAGGGTGCTGGCAGATTACGGGCCTCCCATAGCTGCTGCCAGGCCCCTAATCTGCCATGGGCCCCTGTACTGCCTCCTAATGCTGCTGCCAGGTCCACAGTGTGTCTCATGCCATGTGCCACTTTCAGGTCTCCTCACACTGCTGTGTGTTCAATTTTTTGTCATAGGGTGCTGGCAGATTACGGGCCTCCCATAGCTGCTGCCAGGCCCCTAATCTGCCATGGGCCCCTGTACCGCCTCCTCATGCATGCTGCCAGGTCCACAGTGTCTCATGGGTCCCTGTACGGCCTCCCATTGCTGCTGTCTCCATCGCCACACTCTGCCATGTGCCACTTTCAGGTCTCCTCACACACTGCTGGTGTGTTCAATTTTTTGTCATAGGGTGCTGGCAGATTAGGGGCCTCCAATAGCTGCTGCCAGGCCCCTAATCTGCCATGGGCCCCTATACCGCCTCCTCATGCTGCTGCCAAGTCCAGAGTCTCTCATGGGTCCCTGTACGGCGTCCCATTGCTGCTGTCTCCATCGCCACACTCTGCCATGTGCCACTTTCAGGTCTCCTCACACACTGCTGGTGTGTTCCATTTTTGTCATAGGGTGCTGGCAGATTACGGGCCTCCCATTGCTGCTGCCAGGCCCGTAATCTGCCATGGGCCCCCGTACCGACTCTCATGCTGTGACGTTGCAACAAGGTGGAATTCAACCCTACAATGTTAGACCGCCTTTACGAACAGCGAAAGGCCATCACAGATTTCCTGATGTTACAAGCGGATAAAGGTACTCCCTGTGTAACTTAGATGTCAGCCATTGGCAGCTCATGCGTGACACCTGCGCTTGCTCAGGCCCTTTGAGGAGGCCACGCTATTCGTGAGTCGGCAGGACTATGGGATGAACGACGTCAGTCCTCTGTTGCACGTCCTGGAACAAATGCTGTTAACAATGGCTGGTCAGGGTGCGGTAGACATGGCGCACAGATCTCAACGCCACATGACCCCTGTGGGGGCAGGACAGGAAGAAGAGGAGGAGGTAGAGGAGGACATTGTTGCTCAGGAATTTATTGAGTGAAATGGGTGGTTTTTCCACTCAGCGGACAGGAGTGGAGGAGCAGGAGCATCTGGTAGAGGAGGAGGAGGAGAGGACAGAGGACCCAAACGCACCGTGGCAGTATGCTGTGGAGATGGAGGCAGGGAGTCCCTCGCATTCCTTGGCACAAATGTCCCATAGCATGCTCGCTTGCTTGCGTAGCGACAGCCGAATAATAACCATCAGACAGAGGGATGACTTTTGGCTGTCCACCTTGTTGGACCCTCGCTACCGTTCAAAAATGGTTGGCCTTTTTCACACCTGCTGAGAGGGAGGCCAAAATAACGTACTATAAAAACCACCTATGTAGTCAGCTGGTCTCTGCCTTTCTGCACCCAACGTCCATCCTCAGACACTGTGGGCCCTGTGCGCTCGCGTTCCGCTGCCATGGCAGCAGGGGAGGGTGGGGTGGTAGGAGCAGTGGCAGCTCCACCAGCAGCGGCTGCCTCAGTCTGCAGTCGATGATGAGTAGCTTTCTTCACCAGCGCAGTGAGGAAAACTACTAACCAGCCGCAAGCAGCAGCAGCAGCATCAGGTGGACCTGGAGCAGGACCTCAAACAACAGGCTTAGGCCTACTTGGACAGCACCCTGCAACCGAGGTAGACAATCCCTTTGACTACTGGGCAACGAAACTTGACCTTTGGCCCCAACTAGCTGAATTTGCCCTTGAAAGGCTGTCATGCCCGGCCAGTAGCGTGGCATCGGAGCGCGTGTTTAGTGCGGCAGGAGGTATTGTAACTCCGCGGAGGACACGACTGTCCACCCAAAGTGTGGAGAGACTCACGTTTGTGAAAATGAATCAGGCGTGGATTAGTCTGGATTTCAAACCACCAGTTCCTGACACAACTGACTAAATCCGCCATGAATCATGCCCTGCCATGTGCCACTTTCAGGTCTCCTCACACTGCTGGTGGGTTCCATTTTGTCATAGGGTGCTGGCAGATTACGGGCCTCCCATTGCTGCTGCCAGGCCCGTAATCTGCCATGGGCCCCCGTACCGCCTCCTCATGCTGCTGCCAGGCCCGTAATCTGTCATGGGCCCCTGTACCGCCTCCTCATGCTGCTGCCAGGTCCAGAGTGTGTCATGGGTCCCTGTACGGCCTCCCATTGCTGCTGTCTCCATCGCCACACTCTGCCATGTGCCACTTTCAGGTCTCCTCACACACTGCTGGTGTGTTCCATTTTTTGACATAGGGTGCTGGCAGATTACGGGCCTCCCATAGCTGCTGCCAGGCCCCTAATCTGCCATGGGCCCCTGTACCGCCTCCTCATGCTGCTGCCAGGTCCAGAGTCTCTCATGGGTCCCTGTACGGCCTCCCATTGCTGCTGTCTCCATCGCCACACTCTGCCATGTGCCACTTTCAGGTCTCACACTGCTGGTGTGTTCCATTTTTTGTTATAGGGTGCTGGCAGATTACGGGCCTCCCATTGCTGCTGCCAGGCCCGTAATCTGCCATGGGCCCCCGTACCGACTCCTCATGCTGCTGCCAGGCCCGTAATCTGTCATGGGCCCCTGTTGTCGCTTGTTGGCATATTCCGCTCGTTCAGATGCTCCTTCTCCTGCTACTCTTCTTCACGGATTCCGTCAGCAGTCTTTCTTGGAATCCGTTTCCAAGAGACAAGTTTGCGAGCACGCACCCGACGGTGCAGAAGCTGAACGTCCTCCTGTCCAAGTTGCTGCTGCCAGGCTCGTAATCTGTCATGCGCCCCTGTACCGCCTCCTCATGCTGCTGCCAGGTCCAGAGTGTGTCATGGGCCCCCGTACCGACTCCTCATGCTGCTGCCAGGCCCGTAATCTGTCATGGGCCCCTGTACCGCCTCCTCATGCTGCTGCCAGGTCCAGAGTGTGTCATGGGTCCCTGTACGGCCTCCCATTGCTGCTGCCAGGCCCGTAATCTGCCATGGGCCCCCGTACCAACTCCTCATGCTGCTGCCAGGCCCGTAATCTGTCATGGGCCCCTGCACCGCCTCCTCATGCTGCTGCCAGGTCCAGAGTGTGTCATGGGTCCCTGTACGGCCTCCCATTGCTGCTGTCTCCATCGCCACACTCTGCCATGTGCCACTTTCAGGTCTCCTCACACTGCTGGTGGTTTCCATTTTTGTCATAGGGTGCTGTATGGCCTCCCATTGCTGCTGCCTCCACCGCCACACTGTGGCTCCACACTCTGGTTTTGGCCCCGTGACTGCCCAAATGAGTGAAGTGTGCGGTGATTCTAAGATCGACGGCACTCATCTGCATGTCATACTGACTGTCAGTATTATTTCTCTTCCCCAGCAGACTCCAAGGGCATTTAAATTAAAGGTACAGTGTTCTGCACTAATATAAAGGCTCTCTGAAGCCTAGAAACACCCTTTTATAAGTTAAATTCGCAGCGAATATATTCGACTCGAATCAAAATTTTTCCACGAATTCGCCGAATCAGTCGAATCGAATTTTTGAATACTTCGCTCATCTCTAATTCACAGTTTAAGTCAATAACTCCAGCACTCACACACTCCTTACCAGATGGAGATATCTTCATAAACAGAAATTGTGCTTTGCTTCAATACAGCCAAAATATCTCTAACGGCAATTGAGGTTTGATATGGCTCCAGCCAAATGGAAAGACTGCAACATATAGAGAACAAATGTGCCTCGTGGTAACCCAGCTACATCATCTTCAACAGCTAGTAGTAAGGTCTGCTATGGCTCCATTCATATGGCATATGAGGAAAAGATGTGCCATATGAATATGTAAAATCCAGGCAGTACGTGCCCGGAGTTTACATATTCACCTTGTACCTGCATGGGTTTCCTGTGTATCCTAGTTTCCTTCCACACTCCAAAGATATACTGTAGATTAATTGGCTTCAAAGAGAGAGAGAGAGTGTGAGTCCTTACATTATAAGCATCCCGAGGGCATGGACTGATGTGCAATATAGAGTTAGGTCCATACATATTTGGGCACAGGCAGAGTTTTAGTTTTTTCAGGTATTTACCAAAGCATATTCAAGCTATAGTAATATAATGGATATGGGCTGAAAGTGCACACTCTCAGGTTTAATTTGAGGGTATGTACATCCAAATTGGAGGGCGGGTTTAGTAAATGCAGCTCTTAAGATTAGCCATCCCCCCTTTTTCAAGGGACTAAAAGTAACTGGACAATTTCAGGTATTTACCAAAGCATATTCAAGCTATAGTAATATAATGGATATGGGCTGAAAGTGCACACTCTCAGGTTTAATTTGAGGGTATGTACATCCAAATTGGAGGGCGGGTTTAGTAAATGCAGCTCTTAAGATTAGCCATCCCCCCTTTTTCAAGGGACTAAAAGTAACTGGACAATTGAATATAATCATAAATAAAATGTTCATTTTTAATATTTTGTTGATAATCTTTTACTGGCAATGACTGCCTGAAGTCTGGAACCCATGGACATTACCAAAGACTGGGTTTCCTCTTTTCTGATGCTTTGCCAGGCTCTAACCGCAGCTGCCTTCAGTTGTTCTTTGTTTGTGGGTCTTTCCGCCTTTAGTTTTGCCTTCAGCAAGTGAAATGCATGCTCAGTTGGGTTGAGATCAGGTGATTGAAGGAAAAGAAGTGGAATATTCTGCAATGGATAAGTCAAAAGCCCCTGGGTTGCTTTTGCAGTGTTTTGGATCAATGTCCATCTATACTGTGAAGCGCCATCCAATCACCTTTGCTGCATTTGGCTGAGTCTGGGCTGGCAGTATATCTTTAAACACTGCAGAATTCATCCGGCTGCTTCTGTCACATCAATAAACACCAATGACCCAGTGCCACTAGAAGCTATGCATGCCCATGCCATCACACTGCCTCCACCATGTTTTACAGATGACGTTGTGTGCTTTGGATCATAAGATGTTCCAAGCCGTCTCCACACTTTTTTTCCCGTCATTCTGGTACAGATTAATCTTAGTTTCATCGTCCAAAGAATGCTTTTCCAGAACTGGTCTGATTTTTTAATGTTTTTTGCAAAGTCTAATTTGGCTTTTCTATTCTTCAGGCTTATGAATGGTTTGCACCTTGTGCTGAACCTCTGTATTTGCTCTCGTGAAGTCTTCTCGATTGTAGACTTTGACAATGATACGCCGACCTCCTGGAGAGTGTTCTTCACTTGTCTGGATGTTGTGAATGGGGGTTTTCTTTACCATAGAGAGGATCCTGCGATAATCCACCACTGTTGTCTTCCATAGACGTCCATGCTTTTTATGTTGCTGAGCTCACCAGTGCATTCTTCTTTCTTCAGTATGTACCAAACTGTTGATTTGGCCACTCCAAAAATGAAACAAA